AAGATAATGAACAGGTCAAGTAAGCAATACTGCAGAATAGCCTTTCATGCGGTGGTTTAAGAGACACAATGACGATTATGATCTCACCTTCACTTGATGATTGACTAACATGATCGTAGTAATAAAATTGCATATGCAATAAGAGCTCTTTTCCCTCTACCGGAGGAGGATGACTACATTGTCCATAGTAACCTCCTGTAAATCATCCAAACCATGACTGCATATATACCGGAGATAAATATTATACTAATACAAATACAAAAACTGAGACCAGTTATCATAACTGAAAATAACCACCCTGAGAAATATCTAAATGCTTACATTACTGATTCATTCTTATAATTAGTTCAAAATGTTACACAAGTTTAAGACCTAGATGTTTATTGACCTGAAAAATCATTGTTCTCTCAATTTACAGACAACAAAGATTCAGATCCAGATATTCAGTTATTTGGGAAAAATAGATTTAGAACTAAAATTCTTAGCCATATGATTATTCCATATTGTTTATTTACATGAAAATGCTAATATTCAGTGCTCTAGAAAATATTTCATTAACATAAAGAATATTGTTCCCATTATTCCAATCATATTCCTGTATAAATAGTACAACAAGAAACAATTACCTTGACTTGTGCTGCAGCAATGCAGCCAAGCAAATTATCACAAGCCTTGTTTTTGGGAAGCCTGATTGCAGTCCATTTCTACGTAGCTAACTCCATCGATATTTACAAAGACAGTATCAGAAGTGATTCCACACTTCTACTAAACTGCTGCAAATCAACATTTATATATGCCTTGTAATAAGATGCATAAATTAAAACATTTGGTCTCATAATTACGGGGAATCTTAACATGAAAGCTGCAAAAAAGATTCTCTATTCTACATAGGATGTTGATTACATCAATAATATTACCACATGACTGGACACCTGAATTCTAAACTCATACTATATGAAAAAGAGAATAAGGCAATTGCGGAATCCTCGAGCAGCGGCGAACCCAGTAAAGTGCATCAACTTTAGCAAAAAAACCACATTTCTTAGGCATACTACATACAACAAATTGTAATTAGATGAGATCTGAAAGCATACACAGATTGATTAAGTTAGGGTTCAAGTGCTCAGTTTCGCACAGCAGGGAGTGCAGGATGCGGCGCGATACCTGGTGGGTGCTGGTCGCCGACGACGGACTTGAATCGCACCCTCACGAGCAGCCGACCAGGGTCATCGTGGCAATTGCGCCCGCGGTCAGGGGAGGCGTGTCCCCAGCCAGGCCACCCCAGAGGTCGCCGGCGAGGCGGTGCAAGTGGCGTGTGGCGGCGGGGATCGTCGCCGCTGTCGTTGGAGGCGTCGTGGGAGGGGAGGGGAGGCGCTGCGGGGGCCGGGGTGGCGGCGGTGGGAGAGAACGGAGTGGAGTGCGTGATGTGGTTTGTTTTGGAATAGTTATGAATGTTTTAGTTGTAGAGATATGCTTCACCACGTCTCTTATTTATTTTGTCCCTTTTCTCGTAAGACATTGTGTGCCATCGGGGCTCTATCCCTTTCTCTCTTGCGCTCTTTAGCATCATCGATTGGTAGGCATGAATTGATAGCATTATACTCCCTCCGTCTTGTAATATAGCGCATTCTAACATTGAAAATTTGTCCTCAAATATAATGCATCCTAGAGGACAAAAACCAATTTTATATTAAATACTTTTATTTATCAACCAATCATCATTAGTCACGTTAATGATAGCGTCTGATTAGGAAATAAAATGAGAGTACATGCGTCTTTTATGTTCTCTCTTAATTTGTCTTAAAATTCCTAAAATGCACTATATTATAGGACAGAGGGAGTATGCACATATTATAGAAATTGACAGAGATGTACATGGTGCATCTATTACAATATCACAAAGAATATCATTACATACCTCTTCTTGTTGGGTTTCTTTCCTCGTCTTGTTTCTGCCCATCATCCTCACCCTCCATGTTATATCTATATCTAATAATAAAGAGGTAAAATTTTCAGTCATTTTTTCGTTCATCTTTTTTTTTCCGTCTCCCTCTAACTACCGAATAATGATGAGTTTTTTTTGTCTGGACTTATATATAACCCATGCTTATACGAGTTATAATACCTCGTGTCTAGACCAATATGAAGTAGGAATCGTAATCTAAATAGATTTCTCAGATCCTAAGTACTCTAAATAGAACTCTTAATAATCAAATAGAAAAGGTTAAGAGTTATGTTCTTTATTTTGCTCCGCTTTCTTTATTTAGTTATATGTTAAAAGGGAGGCAAAAAAAATCACGTCCGTGTGTTCCTTATTTTATATTTTCAGTCCGTTTACAAAGGAACCAAACTTCAACTTCTATCTCCTTCTTTCTTCAACCTTATAGAGTTCGAATATTTTACGGAACCTGGCGGCAATCTTTCTAAATATTTTTGTGCAAATATTATGTAGTAGTAACAAACTCTGGGTGCGGAACGACAGAGATATGTGGTATATAGACCGAGACAATATGCATCTGTTACACCTAAAAAATATGAAACGCTTTCGTCAAAAAAAAATTCCATGCGCGCGCTCCGTGAAACTCCGAGCACGCCCCCACGTGAAAAATCCGAACTCGAGTCTGGTACGAAGGCAGAAAGATAGAATCAAGCGAACGTTTTCTGTGTTGTATTTTTTGGCCAAACTATTATTAGCAGTTAAGAATTATAGTAGTATATACAGTATCATGCCTAGGGAGGGGCTCATTTGATTTTGGGCCAAGAACGACGTCTCCCAGGCCGGCAATAAACTAAATAATAGAAAAGACCTGAATAAATTTGAAAATAGTTATGATTCCAATGCAAAATTATTTAATAGCCTTTTATTGTTTTAAAAAACGATCAAATCAGTTTATAAACTTAGAAAATCAATAATAAATCACATAAATATTATGTTTCTTTAAACTAGATGTACTAGATATAGGTGATAAAGATCATGAAATGAGCTTTATATTTTGTATGTAATTAGATTTGTATATTTCTTAAAATGATCGTCTAAACCGGCCCAGGCTGCTTGAAGACACTACGGGCGTGTTTGGATTGTGACTGGCAGGCAGATTCTCGTCTAGGCAACGATCGTGACCCCAGGCGGACGAAATCCTACGCCTGGGATTGCTTGCTGGCCAGGCGTTGCCTGGGAGGCTTGAATCCAAACAAGCCCTACGCACGTGTTGCCATGGCTATTTCCGGTCTCCTCTCCCCCATGAGCATTGTGCCGCGGTGCAGTGCCGGCACGGTTCTGCACTGTGGTCATCACGCTATCGGGCTAGGCAGTTAGGCTATGGTCAGTGACACCGTGCGCACGTGGTGCCGTGGTCTCAGGTGTCGTGTCTCGCGTGCGGCTCTGCCATACAACAATGTTCGTGCCGCCTGCAACATAATGAATTATGACTTGTTGCAATGTACGGATATATTTGCTAGTATATATAAAATCTGATTCTTGTTGGTCGACCGTACCGCGCGGGTCGTGCTATGGTGCTACCGGGTCGGACCCAGCACCACACCAACCAGCAGCCTGTTTGGTTAGCTGGTTCGTATCGTTGCTGGTTCATAAAGAAGTATTACTGGCTGATTTATGGGAAAGAAAAATACTGTTCTAAATAAAAATTTACGATCGTTTAAGGCAAGTAACACCCAAACCAACAGGCTGCATGTTCCGCGTAGACGTGCTCCGGCGTTTTTTCGGGCCAGCAGCGGCCCGCGTCCCGTGCAGCCACGCTTTTTCGGCCCAGCGGGTCCCGCTCGTGTCCTCCCTCCCACGTGCCGCACTTCCCGCGAATCCAGCGCGTGTCGCGCTAGCCGCTCGGAGAATCCCACTCGCGCCGAACGAGAAGCCGCGCTTGCCGCTCGGAGAATCCCGCTCGCGCCGAATGAGAAAAAGAAAAGGACGTAGATGCCTAGTAGAAATTAAAACAAAAAAAAAAGTCCATGAGAGGACTCGAACACAAGACCTATATTGTTTTGAATTTTGAAAGATATAAGTCTCCAACACTACATCATATTGATGGTTTTGTAATTATATAGTGGTGAAAAATTTTATCATCAAATACATCAGACCATTTTAAGTCAAAGAAAGAAAGTATTAAATCCTGACAAGAACAATATTCCATACATATTTAAGATGCTAACTACATAAAACATGCATTGTACTTTTAATGACTAATGATAACGATGCAACCATAATTTATTTGACTATTGTTATATTGTTTTATAAATTAATATCTAATGTAGCTAATAATGTATTTTATTGTTATTTATATGTATATAGAGCGTAGTATCCTTATCTTTTGATCTCTAATTATATGATTTTGTTTTCTAAATATTGGTAACACAGATGGATATTTATTGACAGCTAAATCAAATAGATACCCAAATGTGTATGCGAATGCGAATATGAACTATATGTTTATTTGACGATATTCGAATCCATATGGAAACTAAAAAATGAAAAAATCTATCAAATTCCATTCGTTTTGACCCAATTAAGGCTCGTTTGGCTAGTGATTAATCATTTCTCCCCAGGATCGAGTGGGTACTGCTGGACCAACTTTTGATCCTGGCCAGGATCGAGTGGATCCTGCTCTGTCACAGAAATCTAGTGATTAATCATTCCTCCCCAGGGATCAAAACCATTGTTTCAAAAGTAGGATCAAAACCATTGTTTCTTAAAAGTTAGTAAGCAATTCAGGAAACAATGGCTGAGATGATTAATAAACACAGGTTGACTGTTTGGATAAAGAAACAAAGTTGTACTTAACTAAGTTACCGTAAGCAATTCAGGAAACAATGACTGTAATGTATGATTAATAAACATCCAGAACATCCAGGTTGACTGTTTGAACATCCAGAAAAACATAACAGAACAATGACTATACGGTGCATCAACATCCAGAACCGGAAAACTGAGCAGAACGAACAAGACCGTATGAGCCGCTGCTCCCGATGAAGATGTGATAGCTGAGATGGAGAACGGCTCTCCCTCCCGTCGGTCGTGGGCTGACGAGGCCGACGGGGAGCTTCCATCGCCGCGGTCCCTTGGTGCGGGGTCGCCAGGTGCGTTCGTAGGGAGCCCATCCGCTTCCGTCCTTGGTTCTGACCTTGGGGAGCATGTGTCACTCACCGACTCGGAGAGCTATTCCGACTCCGAGCCCCCCTCGCCGCCGCCGCCGGGGAAGGGCAAGGCGGTTGCAGAGTCCAAGGGCCTACGCTGGCGTGCGCGTCGCCGACGACATCGTCCGCGGGCTGTGGAGGGATTCCTGGCTGCTGCGCGGCGTTCCCACCCACAGCCCGTCCCGGCTACCTACTCGCCGCGTCGTCGTACCTCCCCGGCCGCGCACCCTGCCCGCACCCTCGCCGGGCCGGATGCGGACGGGTTCTTTGAGGTTCATAGTCGTCGTCGCTGGCGTCGTCGTTTGCCACCGAAGCTGTCGCGGCCAGTCCCCCCGGCTCTGCATGGCCTCTGCTTCAATTGTTTGGCCAACGACCATGTGAAGGCGGTTTGCGTCTACCCGGCGAGATGCTTCAATTGTCGTCGCGAGGGCCACCGCTCCTTCGACTGCCCGCTCCCTCCGGGGCTCGGCAAGCGGCGTCGCTCGCCGCCGCGAGCTGGGGATGGTCGTCCACGACCAGCTGGTCGCCGGCGTGCCGCTTCGGATGATACGGCCACCGCACGGTCAGTTTCCACAGGACGCTCGACGTCAGTCCCAAGGTGCTGTGCTCCCCCGACCCCGCCACCTCTGGATACGGCGGACTCTCCGTTGGCTACGCATGCGACGTCTGCTGGGGGGGCTCCGGAGGACCGCCCGATGCGCCCGCGCCGCTCTGGGTTCGTCGTCGTTCCTCGCTCCGCGAGGTTGATGTCAGCCGAGGATGCGCTCAGCCTTGCTCTGGTCGCCACCGTGTGTGGCACTAGGCCCGCGGTGTCACCCGCCATGGTCAGCAGCTACCTCTTTGAGCGGTTTGGGTTGACTGTGGACGACTCGGCGGTCAGCCGGCATGATCCGGAAGATTTTGTGGTGCGCTTCGGACATCGCGGAGACAGGGACTGGGTTCTTGCCGCCCCGGCGATGGGAGCTCGGCTTCCTCTGGTCTAGCGCCCGTGGAGGAGAACCTCGATGGCCGGCGGAGGTTCATTCAGGTACACTGTGCTGGTTGGGATGACGCGTGTGCCCCTACACGTGCGGAGTGCCGAAACGGCGCAGACCATCCTCGGCTCGTCGTGCGCAGAGGTCGAGGTCGTGCGGTCGAGCGGGGTGCCAGCCGACAACGACCGTGAGTTCTTCGTTTCGGCCTGGTGGCTGCACCCTCAGTTCATCCTGGACGAGAAGATCATCTTCGTTCCGGAACCGCGCATTCCTAATCCCGTGGAAGGCGCGCTTGTGGAGCTGCCCGGCTTGCGCTACTTGGTGAGGATCAGGCTGGTCGCTTTCAAGGACTGGAACCTGCCATCGCCGTACCTGGCCGCTGCTGATCCGGGTCTCGGTGATGATGATGACGGCTCGCCGGATAGCAACATCAACAGGTATCACCCGGGCTTCGATGATGGCCCGCCACGAAGGTCCCCTACAGATTTCGGCGATCCAACTGATGACGATGATGGCTCCAGCGACAGTAACTGCAATCGTTTTCACCCGGGCTTGGACTGCTGCCGTGGCGGTACGCCGCCGGGTACGGCCGAGTCGCCTTCCCCGGTGTGGTCGGCCCATCCGAGTCACTGGTCGGTGGGCCCACAGGAGCCTCTCTGAGGTCGTTGGTGGTGGGCTCGGTACCCTGCCCACTGTGGGGTGGCTGCCTCATGGGTGCTGGGCCCGGGAGCTATGGACGTGGCGCGTGTCTCGGGTGGGCTCACGCCGCGGGATCCTGGACGTCCCATCGGGGCGTGACACTGCCCCAACTGTCAACGCCGAAAGCTGCGAGGCAGCTTTTTCAAACCGGTGCCAGCCGCGCGCTGCACAGGACTTCGCTACCCCGATGACTGAGGATGGGTTGGGGGCCCTGCCAATCCGTGTGGACCCGATGGAGTGGGAGGCGGAGTTGGGGACCCCTTGCCAGGCGAACCACCGTTGCCTCGACCTGCGCTCTCCTGATCTGGACCCGCACCGCTCGGCACAGGGGAGCACCCCGCGTGCTATGAAAACCTGCATCGATGCTAGTCCACGCCTGAGGGGGGAAAGGGTCCTTCTGTGGCCCATCCGGGACCTTGGGCCGGTGTTCTGCAGTCAGGATACCGGGACGAAGGTGCGGAACCGACGATTCGGGAGCCCATGAATCTGGAGCTCAGTAGTCTGGGTTCGCCGGTCGCCGCAACAATGGCCGCAGCGCTGGGTACGTCCAACGTCAAGGCGCGGGCGGACGCTACGCAAGGAACGACCGTTGCTGCGCGACTGGACGAAATTGTGGCTAGGGTCTGCATCCCCCTTGACTCGCCCGTCATCAAGGTGGGGCCGAGGCTGCGGAAGTCACGGACGCCGGCAACCGTGCTATCTATCAGGAGGAGGAGGAGTCTTGAGGCCAAGCCATGCGGGCAGCCAACGCCACGCTGCAAGCGCAGTCCGTCCTAATGCGGAAGCTCGGACTGGCGGTCAATGTCCCGCCGGCGAATAAGGAGGCCTATGAGAAATATTTGGCGATCTTCGCAGAACCGCTGACACCATCGAAGCTGGAGGCAATACAGATGTTTTTCGCGCCTGATTTTGATCCTGTGGCCATGAATCTCAACTTGGCCGAGTTGGAGGGGGACACGCTGTAGTGGAGCCTGGGACCTTTGTCAGTCGCACCCTTTGTTTCGCAATGATATCATACAAATGCGTTGTTTGGAATGTGTGCGGGTTGATTGGTCATGCCCGTCGCAATGTCGTTAGGGACCTAGCAAACACCAAGTTCTTTCACCACATGGGCGAGGGAGATGTTGTGCTCGTCAATGAGGAGGATGTCATGGAATGCTGGATGCGCAAAAAAAGCTTTTTGTCAAACCGGCGATGGCTGGAGACTGTGGAAGGAGAGGAACTCGTGCACTTTTGATGGAGTTTCTACTGACGCGGCTGGTCTGGCTTACTCGATCTTGGGCGAGGCCGAGGAGTGATGTTTGGCAGGATACAAGCAGCTCATGTCCTTCCCGTTGCAAGAATAGTAGTATGTAAATCAAATTCGCTTGCTGCGTGGGCCGTTGTGCTTTGGTAATCGATGGATTACCAGGGCATTTATTTGTAATTTCAAATAAACTATTTTCTCCTGCTTAATGAAAACCATGCCCGAGGCACGTTTGGAAAAAAAAATGATTGCAGCCAAAACAGGAGAACTGCTTGTACGTTGCCCGTCGCGGTGGTGGTTGTGCCGCCTCGTCGCCTCTTGCGCCGCCTCGTCGCCTGGCTCGTGCGTGTGTTCCTCCGGCGCCTGACTCCGAGCTAGAGGGTCTGACTAGTGGCTGCGTTCCGGGTCGTGGAGGGAGTGCAAAGTTGGTTTCGGCATGTTTATTTTTGAGCCAGCCCAAATCGAACGGGGATTTCGCCGAGGGCTTGTTTAAAATTAGGCCACTCCGATCCACCTAGAACCAGAATGAGCCACTCCGAGGCAACCGAACGAGGCCTTAGCTATCACGAATACCATGGTAGCAATGAAAATGAAGGCATCGTCGCGATCGTTTATTCTCCTCTTCTTTTTTTTTATTTTGGAATTCTCCTCTTCCTTTGTCCTTTGCCTATATAATGTGTCACTCCTGCTTCCTGAACCCTAGACATTATCCTCCCCCTCCCCCTCCCCCTCCCCTGAGCGGCGGCCGTCTCGCCTGCGCTCTGACCCTTAACGATCTGGCCTACCTGCGATCGATTTGACCGCCGGCGGGCGTTTCGGCTGCCTCTACCTCCGACCGGCCGATCTGACTGGCCGGCGGCACGTCCTCTGCGGCAAGTTCCAGGTCAGATTCAGGGCTCCATTCAATCGTGATGAAGCACAAGTGCACTCACCTCATTGAGGACGTCTGCGTCTCCTCCGTGCACCGTCTCAAGGTCGACGGCTTCTCTGTCACCAAGTCCACGATCAGGAACAAAAACGACTGCCTCATCAAATCCAGATGCAGGGTCGACAGGTACGACTGGGAATCCAGTTCCGCACTTCACCCTATATAAGCTGCGCGTCAGTGAGTATTATGTAGCGCTGGTGCTTGTCTACCTCGTGCACCGTGTGACGGTGTGGTGGTGGATCTGAGCTGTCATCTGGTAGATCAAAGCTGCGATCTTGTTCCATTAGTAGGGTTTGATATGACAAGGTCCGTAACATTTAAGCGTCCCCTCTCCTCCGATTCACCTTGGCAGAGGGAGGGTTAGAGACGATGTGCAAGCATCAAGTCATCTCATCAAGGGTGGTTCATTTACTGTGGAATGCATGATCAACGTGCACAGCCGCAGGGACCCGAATTCGGCTTCTCTGTCGTCGTCTGACCTACATCAACACCTCGGGAAGCTCTTGGAGAACCAGTCTGGAGTAGACGTCACTTTCGTCGTGTCCGGTGAGTCCATCTCAGCACACAAGAGCATACTAGCGGCGAGGTCCCCGATATTTATGGCCGAGTTCTTTGGCAACATGCTGGAGAGGAGCTCCCAGTGTGTGGAGATCCAGGACATGCACCCGACCGTGTTCAAGGCCATGCTTCACTATATCTACACCGATACAGTGCCTGAGCTTGATAACAATGATAAAATAAGAAACCAGCTGAGACCGATGAGGAAACGGTGATGGCTCAGCACCTGCTTGTAGCTGCTGACAGGTATGGGCTAGACAGGCTCAAGACAATCTGCGAGGAAGGCTCACACTTGACATCGGCATTGGCACAGTGGCATCGACACTGGCTCTAGCAGAGCAGCATAGCTTCTCCCAGCTCAAGGCTAAGTGCATCGACTTCATCAGTGGAGGATCAAGTAAAAATCTTAAAGCCGTCTTGGAAACAGAAGGCTACAGGTATCTGGAGGCCAGCAACCCCTCATTGTTGACTGAGCTCCTCAAGGCTGCGCATGGAAAGAAGAGGAAACAATTTATGGGTGGAGTCTGTTGAATTAGGATGGAGAATATATGTCCAGAGAATAATATATTATGTTCAGCCTTAATTTCACTCTACATGTATTATTATTATTATTATTATTATTATCATCGTGACCAACTATAATTGCTTGCATTTCTGAACTTCAGTCTGAAATAACTTTGAATTTACGCTTATCGTGTCTATATGAGTTATTATTTGTTGTTACCATGTGTGTGTGTATGACAACTTCTTGGTGTGCAATTGTGCCCTGCCGTAGTGGGTTTAAACAGTTTACTAACTTGCTAACTCTATTCAATTTACGAATATGTATGCTAGAAAATAAGGGAAATATTGAACCCATGTAATGCTTTCTACTTTAGAAGATGGACATGCATTGGTGCTTGTGCTCTCCTCCTTTAATCAGTGGTTTTCAAGTCGGAGATGCAACTTCCCAGTCTGTTCGTCCATAGGCTTCCTGTTTTTGGCTGTCAGGCTTGTTCCATGAAAGTTATTATATCAAGTAAACATAGAGATATCAGGCCATGAAGCAGTCTAAAACAATGTCCTTCAAAATCAATTCTCATTTCTTCGTGATATACTGTTGTCATGAATTGTACTATGTAATTTTCTCCTGGTTTGGTTCAATATGTATGGTTTTTTGCATTCAAAGTTAGCAAAAAATTGCTTCCAGAATTTTATTGTTATGCTTGATTGCCATTTTAGACATTCATGTACAGTTCTGGTAAAAAATGTTGAAGCGAGCAATGCACAAATGCTTTGCTTCCAAGATCTTATTAGTGTGCTTGATTGCCATTTTATACATTCACATGTACAATAGTTTCTGGTAAAACAATTGAAGCTAGCAATGCACAAGTGCTTTGCTTCCAAGGTAACCTACAATGTTTTTAGGACAAGTGTATAAATAATAATAATAAGCTGATTATTACACCTGTGCCATTTTCACGTAACTATAAAGGGTTATTTCGGTTCCTGCAAGACTTTTCTACTACACCTACATGGCAAACTAGCTATTCCCTAGCAGATAATTGCTTCAATTCGAGGTTATCAGTATTGTCTCTTGTGAATTGCTTTAGAGCACAAGCAAGATCTTCCATTTTCCTAGGGTGAAGGCACATATCGGAGCGGAGCCACCCTAGCAGCATGGTGGAGCGGCCGCCCCAGCTACCAGTGTGATCGTTTCAGACCCCCTAGCTAGGCCCCCCTTCTTCCTTATCTCCGGTTGTCGAGCGCCTGTGCCGACTCTCCACACCATTGCGATGAGCGGTGATAGAAGATTGGTGGTGGTAGGGTCTATTTTTCTCACTTTGGTTCCGCCTAGCAGCATCCCATATGAAGGCAAACCTTGCGGTGAAATCCCAAATCCCTAGTCGCGCCACTGTCGGAAATTGTCACATGCATCTCACCATATGTCCATCTCCAACCCTAGTCCCTAGCCGCTAGCTGGCGCCTAGTGAGCAGCAAGCCAAGTAGCCAGCGACCACCACTTGCCGGAGGCCTGAGCGCGATTTGTGAGGAGCAACTGAGCATGCGAAGCAGCGGCGGCGACGCGGTCAGGTAGCGCCGGCCACGCTAGCAGCGAGCCCACAGTCATGCGCCTGTGCGTGGACCGAGATAGCGAGTAGGGGGGGGGCAGTCGGCCAAGATTTGCGACGGTGAGCCCCGGCTCTGCCACTGCTTTTTGATTTAGCTTGTGCATAGAGCTTGCCCCAGCTAAAAAAAAATCTTGGCTCCGCCTTAAATGACACTTGTCTTTTTCTTTTGTGCTCGTCACTTGATGTTGGAAAAAATGAGAATCAAATTGTGTTATAATTTGCTGTTTGCATTGGGATTTGTATACCATATTGTCATCGAGTTTGCTAGTTATTTGTTCTTACCATGTGTATGTATGAGCAACTTGGTGGTGCGCAATTGTGCATTGTCATTTCTGAATTTTAATTTTTTAATTAAATTTACAAAAGAAATACACGACAAAGATTTCTCTTATTATATATAACTTTTTATATATAAAGGAAACATACGTTCTGCCCCGAACACTTACGGATAAGTGCATAAAGCTAGATGACCCAGAACCAAAGTAGCATTTAAGCTATATCAACTAATATGAAATACTCCATCTGTTTTAAATTATAAGTCGTTTTGACTTTTTTTTTTGTATATTCATTTTGCTACGTATCTGGATATAATAATATGTCTAGATACATAAAAAAATGGATGAACCAAAAAAATCAAAGCGACTTATAATTTGGAATGAAGAGAGTATATTTTAATAATTTATTTATTTAATATTATAGGTGTAATATATTTTATAAAGTTGGTTAAAGTTAGACAATTTTGATTTATAATAAAATTAAAACAACATATAATTTGAAACCTACAAACTAGGAGAAATCATCTACCTCCTTGTCCATCCTTTTTCAATTATATAATAAAGTAATTCCTCATTAATTCGACGCAAAACGTGCCAAGGAGAAGAGAGAGCAAAAGGAAGCGTTTGTTTGGATCTTCTATAAGAAAAATAAGAATGGGATTTACTCTAAACCTATTATTTAGATTTTTTTTTGCGAGGAATATTTAGATATTTTCATTATACAAAAACAATAATTATTATGAGAATGAGATCTAATCATCTTATATCTTTTGCCTCTAGAATTCAGATTTTACACATTTCCGTCACTACAAGATCCAAGGACTCATCAGTACTGTGCAAAGTCCACGTCAGACTGTCAGAGTCAGACAACCGCTGCCCTGCCCTGATGGCCGTCCCGTCCAGATCCAGCTCAGATCGCGGAGTAGAAAGTTGGGCCCAGCAGTCAGCATCTCATACTTTCCAACAGAGGAGAAAGGGCAGGCCCACCTCTGGGCTCTGGCCTCTCCCCTCGCCTCAGTGAGTGCGCGCGATCTCCTCTGCCGCATCCGATCTCGATCCTCCCGACGCGGTGTCCTCCGGTCAGCGCCGCCGCCGCCTCCTCCCCTCGCCGGCCGCCGCTGTATCGCCGCAGCCACCATGGTTAGCAGCACCCCTCCCTTCCCTCCTCTTCCTCCTCCGCCCTATCCACCCACTTCCACCCCTCGGATTAGCGATTTCATCGGAGCCGACCGAATTCGGCTCTCGGGGCGGCGCAACAGAGCCGCGGCTCGGCAGGGCGATCGGGACCACCCCTCTCGCTCTAGATGGGCAGGGACCATGGGGGGTTTTGTTGTCCAACCTCGAACCTAGTGGCTGTAGTTCTGGTGCGGCCGGTGCGAGAAATTGCGGTGCGAGGTCTCGTGCTGCGGGCTGCTGGTTTCGGATGCTTGGTGCTCTGATTTCAGCGATAGCAGCGGCCTACGTTGAATCCGGCCGCTTAGTAAGGGAAGCTGCTGCGCGGTGGTGGGGTCGCCCACGCTCATCAGTGGGCTGTAGCTCCTTTTTGTTGCTAAATTTGATCTAGTTCTGCCCTATGTGTGATCCTGGGACAACTTGTGCACCAGGAGGCCTCACCTATCTCAGATGAGTAGTCGTGGATTTTCAGGTTCCTTTGTTTAGGCTGGGTACCTGAATTGCAAACGCAATTACATACTTCAGTTGCAACATAGAAAGTTTGGTTCACATTCACGTGCCTGATACTTGGATTATGACCGAGACAATATACATGCTAATTTGTTTTTTCTTACAATTGCTCTGTAATTGCTTGATTCTATGGCCAGACAACTTTCTCATGAATAGTAATGCGCTCTATATAGAAATTTCACCTCTTAATCATACTCCCATGTGTAAATGCTCCTCTGATCTTTTCTGATCTATGGGTGCGTCAATTCAGAATTATATCATTGGAGCATTCAAGCCACCATGTGACGTCTCCATCACATTCTCTGATGCGAGGACCAGGAAGCAGGTTCAATTCTTCATATCCTCGTGCTGCTACCAGTTGGGGTTCAAACGTGAGTTCTGCTTATAGCTTACAAGTGGTCAGTTTCTGCTGTTATTGTTTCACAGGTTTTGGTTAAGAAGGACAATGGGAAGACAACAATGGTCCCTGTTTTCCAGAGCCTGGAAACTATTTCTGGAGAAGTATGATTTCCTCATTCTCTTATTCCTTTCTTTCTTGCTTGGTATTGAGCCTAATACCAGCTTGGGTGAAATGGTTTTCAGGTATCAATAGCACCAGTCCCAGGTAAAAGGATTGAACACACAGGTGTCAAGATTGAGTTGCTCGGCCAAATAGGTATGCTATGCTACCCTCTCTGCTGCTTGTTCTATCAATTTCTGCGGCAAGTAATTATGAGAGAAGGGTTTTTCTTCCAGACATCCAATGGTTACACTGGTATTCAGTTCTATAGATGCTGCTTAGGTTATATGACTTTACAATGCTAGTTTTCTTTGTTTGAGTTCTTCATGAGCATTTACTTACAATAGATGCTATTATTCTGATGATTCTTACATACATTAGTAGTGCATTCTGCATATGTGTTTTGCTATGGTGTTCTTAGATGGCTGTCATTTCCAATAATTTCTGATGCAAACTGGAAGTGGCGTGCATTGTTCTGCATCCACCAGTAGCTTTTATATTTGTGGTTGCTGAAATGTTGCTTTATAGAGTTTTCTTTACATGTCCAATTACAGCCTTCAGTTTTGCTTGACATATTTTTGCATTACATGTGTTCTTCATGCTTTGCATGAATGTGGCTTCCATACTGGATGTTTGTGCATTTATGGAATACATTTTGCTGACTATTTACGAAATTACTTCCCATCTAGTTCCTCTGTTTTTAAATATGTGATGTTTACGACAAGCATATATTTAAAAATCAGGGGCGAGTACTGTTTAATACTTGTTGCCCTCCTAGGCCCTGATAATTACAATGCATGACCATTTCTTTTACAGAGCTGTATTTCGACCGAGGGAACTTCTATGATTTCACTTCATTAGGTGAGTTTCTGGTGCATGATATGCCAATAGCTCCTACACTGAATGTGTGCAATGTCTGGAGTTGTGATCTTTTCTTTAATGATAGGGGTCTTCAATTTCTGGGAACAGAGGCTAGTTAGTAATTATTATCAAAGAATTATTTTGCTGCTAAATGCTGTGTTCTCATCCTTAGATTCTGAGCTTTATATGTTTCATTTGTTCTGTATCATTATCTTCTGTACCTTGATGCTTAAATGACTAAATCTTTAGCCCTCTTAGGTAAACCATTGTACTCCCTCCGTCTAGAAAAACATGCAATTCTAGCACAGTGTCATGGTTTAGTATCTCAAGTTTGATTAATTATAGATAAAAAAAATCAATATTTATGATGTCAAATAAATACCATTAGATTAATTACAAAATGTATTTTCTTAATAAATTAATTTAGTGTCATAAATGTGAATAATATTCACTAGAAACTTGGTCAAATGTAAACTACTTTTGCCAGCACGCAACCCGTAGTTGCATGTTTTCTTGGACAGAGGGAGTATCCTCCAAAGGGGTTGTAATGTGTCAATAGAATCCTATGAAGTCAAAGTGGGCGTTACAGTTTACAAGTTACATCAACATTTACATTCATTTTTGTTAATTAATCAAATTTTTACAGTTGATGATTCTTTTTTAACAAAAGAAAGTAAAGTGAAGCCCTATGAAAGCTAGGTTCAGATTTATCAAGGCAACGAGAAAAACAAATGAAAACCACTTCTTTTAGTTAGACTGCTGGTGTAAAACCAAATCAACTGTCTTGGCTATAAAGTAGAAATCTTGGTTAGTACCTAAGATGTCTCAAAAGGGTGTCCTCAACTTTGTGTTCTGCTAGTGGCAAATTGATCAAGTGCTACTGATGATTGCTCTGCATACATGTTATTATTGTGTGAAAGCTTTTATGACTTGAAATGCACTGTTTGTCCATGCAGTACGTGAGTTAGATATTCCTGGTGAAATCTATGAAAGGAAGACGTTTCCATTTGAGTTTTCAACTGTTGAAATGCCATACGAGTCTTACAATGGGACAAATGTCAGACTGAGGTAAGCAAGTGCTACGATTTAGAGCTGGACTTCTATTATGTTTTGTTTTACATTTTTACTGCTGCTAAAGTTTTTAGTGATAAATTTTGGTTTTGCAAAAACTCCTGGACCATGTTTGGTATTGGTTTATCTTACGGATAACTTGAAATGTTGAATTTAATTGCACTTTTGAATTTGCCCTGTCTAAATACTGTTATTCACTTAAAATATTTATTTAAATGTTCTAAGGCCAAGATTTTTATATTCCCAGTATATAGTGTGAAAACTAGTTACCAGAGGCATTGGGAGGTTGCTATCTTGTCTGTCACAATGTCTAATATCTTCTTTCCAACGACTTATAAGTTGGAACATGCGGAAAGCTTCATAGAAAATCTGACGTCTAATACCTTTTACCGCCTTTACAGGCTTGACATAGGGTGGTGGCGTGGTGCCATTTGTGTAGTTCCATTAATCCATTGATTAGGGTTGTGCCTTTCTCTATGATAAGGATACATGGTTGAATTGCTGTTTTAGAACATATGTCTTCCTGTGAAAGATGCTAGTAAATTACAAATACACTCTTCTTAATATTTGGCTACTAAAATTTGAGAGAACCATCATATTTTTCTCATACTTGTCTATTTCGCCTCAAGAGATCTGATGACTAGTCTACTGTTAACCATATCGCATATAAATTTTGCATCTGTATACTGTCAACTTGGGCCCCCTCTTATGTCATTTCACTTGTTTGAAATGTCCTTCATAAAATGTTCATATGCTAGCGAAGAACTGAAGCACCTGTGAATACCAAGTACCCTTTATGTTTTGCAGGTACATTTTGAAGGTGACAATTGGCAGAAACTATGTTGGGAATATTGTCGAGTACCGGGATTTCTGTGTAAGTTGTTAACTGCTATTATACTTATCAGATTTTTTTTGTTATGTTTATCACTATGCATATACGTGCACCATTCTAGTTGTGCCATTCTTAAGATGAACTAACTCATTAAAGACAATTCTTAATTTAATGTGTTCCAGCAATTAGCAAATTGCAGAGTTTATTCAGCATAATGATTTCTATTTTGTTTGCAGGTGAGAAACTACTCACCTGTCCCTACAATCAATAACAGCATTAAGGTGAGGTCTTATTTTCTTATTAATGGGAACTCTTCATTTGATGCCTAAGGCCCCGTTCGCGTGCCCTTAAACCCGGCTTGACCCGCTTCTTTTTTCATCCGGAACAGTGTTTTTCTCTCACAAATTCCTCCAGCATTCCTCCAAACCATCGAAATTCCTCCATAATTCCTCCAAGCGAACAGGCCCTTAGCATATAACTTGACCATGTTAGATTGAACTGGTACAGTTTCCCATATCGGCATTGTGTGTGCCTGGGGCCTTAACAATGTTGACAATACTCTGAATTTTGGTCAGTCTTGTTTTGATAAAATGGAATATTTCATAGCCGAATAGAAACTTTTGTCCCCTTTTAAGAATGGATACTTTTTTTTTAACTTGGACATGATCCAGGTATCAAATCTTGAAAATATCAGATTTGGAAGTTTGAAAGCAAGAAAAGAGATAAATTAGCTTGTTGCTGGTTACCACCCCAGGTCCTTTTCTTTTTACGAAAAACACAGTTCTTGATCTCTGAGTAATTAATCTGTCTGATACTCTGATATGATATTACCATTCTGACCTCTGATGTAATTGAAACATATATAGGAACCAGAAGGGAGAATGTTTAGATGTGCAAACAAAAGCCTTGTAGTTTCCTGACCCTACGTACCATTTTGAGATCGTTATATTACACATATGGCTGTCCATTCTGTGGCTTGTGTTGTAATGTAAATGAGCAATGCTGTCCTGATGGTTTTAATTTGATAATCTGATTGCTCCAAGTATATAGATTGAACTGCTCTGATGTGATGGAGTTCAGTTTAGTTACTTGACACTTTTTTATGATTTTAAACAGAGAAATTTAATGATTTATTTCTGTATCACTCTATTAAGCGATATACTTAACTGCATGTGTTTTTGCTTTGATGTTCCCCTTTTCAGATGGAAGTAGGAATTGAGGATTGCTTACATATTGAGTTTGAATACAGCAAAAGCAAGTAAGACCATAGCCGTATGCCTATCTGCTTTGTTCTGAGAAGTTGGTCACTTTGGAAACCTGCATGTTACTCATATTCCCCGTTTTTGTCCAGGTACCATCTCAATGATGTGATTATTGGGAAGATATATTTTCTTCTTGTCAGAATAAAGATAAAAAATATGGAGCTGGAGATTCGGCGTCGGGAATCAACAGGATCAGGCTCTAACACATATGTTGAAACTGAGACTCTTGCAAAGTTTGAGTTGATGGATGGTGCTCCTGTGAGAGGTATGATAGTGATTTTGTTGCCACTTTTTCATTTTTCGAATTCTAAATGTTTGGCCTGTGCCCTCAAGTTTAGACAATGTAGTGAGTGCTTCCTTCTTTGCTGTGAAGTATTCATGTCCATTCTTGAGCTCATGGCTGCACTCTTTTTCACTTGTACCTACCTCAACTTCAAAGTAAAAAAAGTACCTAAATACCTCAACTTGTGAGCAATTTCAAACATATATGAAGAATTCACAATCTAGTTCATTTTGAGTTTACTATGGGTGCTCTTGGTTTTAAATAGTCATGTGGATACTGATAACTGTAGTCCTCTCAGCTAGCTTCATCAGTCCCTTGTACAACTTTTGCCATTTTGCTGGGAACTATAGATGTGGGTCCTGTCTGCAGTTGAATTAGGACTGGCTGAATGGATGCTCATCTTGGCAAATAGTCCATGATGCACAAATTGACAACTTTTCTTCAGATGTTCACTGCCATGATTTGTCATTGTCCAACACCACCTACGGTTTGAAGCCTGAATCTGATGCTGTTGTTGCTTACCTGCCTGTCCACATTGGAACCATTTGTTTGCACGGGTATTGGACTAAATTATGATCTGTCCTTGAATTACACATGGATGGAACCAGGATTTGGTCTAATTCTAGCCTGTAGCCTGCCCAAAATAGGCAGCGACATTATTCAATGATATTGGTGTTGGATTGCTGCATACCCTAATCGAATTGTCTTGCAGGTGAATCTATTCCAGTGAGGCTGTTCCTGACACCTTATGAGTTGACCCCGACTTACCGCAACATAAACAACAAGTTCAGCGTCAAGTATTACCTGAATCTGGTCCTTGTGGACGAGGAAGATCGGAGGTACTTCAAGCAGCAAGAGATCACGATGTACCGTCTCCTAGAATCTCCCCCGGCCTCCTAGATCCCGGCCTGTAGCAGCATGTTCACCTCTCAGGTTTTGTACAAGTTGGCGCTGAGGTTAGAGCAATGTCCTGTATATAGACTCCAGAAGAGCGCCACTGCTGACTACTGCTAGTCTGCTATGGCCATGCACGCTGCACTGTCGCGTTAATTTTTTTATGTTTTGTTTTCCTTTCTACTCCTTCCCTTGATTACGACACCACCTTGATAGCCGGGGGTAGAATTACCTGCGTGTTTATTTATCATCCTTGTGGTCTGCAAGAATCATGATGGTATTATTTCGGCATTAGTTCATCTTATTAGCTGGAAGTGATGTAATTTGTTTTGGTAACTTGAACAATCTAGATTTATCTGTGTTTCATGCAAACTAATCTTGGTTGTCGAACAATTCATCAGTTAGCAAGCTGTTCATCAAGGTATCCAATTCTTCGTCCCTTGACTGTTGGGATGCTATCAGATCTCTTACTTACTGAGCAAGTAGAAGGAACGTCTTATGGATGACGCACAACTCCAAATGCTGCCGCTTGATTCTTATCGCAAATCCATGATTCCATGTCAGTTCTAAAACAGCAACAAAACACAGCCCAAGGCAATCTGCATCACCAGTCTACTGCATTATTCCCCGGCCTTGCCTAAATATGTCTATAAACCTCAGTACCTTAATTTCTTGTGCCACTCCACTCACTATTCCACTATAGTCACCAGCACACCTACAACACCTAGAGGACTGAGGACCTCAAGCCAGGAGCCAGAAATCCCTCTGCCGCCTGGTGGTGATGAGGTATCCGCCGCCTCGCCGGCTCTTGCGCCGGACGGCCAGCGCCATGCACGCCGCGTGCTGCACGCAGTAGTCGGCGGCGCTGGCGCTGGTACAGCCGGCCCCGCCCTTGACGCCGGCGATCCACATGGACAGCAGCCGCCACGTGACGGACGACCGCTTCTTCTGCCCCACGACGAGGAGCGACACGCCCTGCTTCCTCGCGGCCTCCACTATCGCCGGTCCGCGGTCCTTGCCGCCGCCCTCCGCCAGGGAAAGCTCCACGCGCACCTGGCAGAACAAACACATTACACGCGCATCAGCTGCTTGCATTGGGCATCAAAGTCAAGCTGGAAATGGAGGGCCATGATCCTGTCTCTGGGACGACATGCATGTATGATGTACCCCTTTGATGATGATGCTCAGCACATGCTGCCCCAGCCCCAACACCCCCGCTGTTAGCTGTGTGATCTTTGCTTGCAATTGCAGCTCTGTGCTGTTGGCATCTTTCTTTCTTTCTTTCCCTTTGATCTGACAGTAGTGGGGCCCTCTTTTCTTTGCATTGTTTGACATAGAATGCCATGTCTCGTGGGCACGCTGGACAGTTGGAGTGGAAGACTTTAAGTAGCCAGGGAACTGTTTTTATTTGTCTGATTATCTACCAGTTGTATGTCATATTTGGGTGCCCATGTTATGTAATTTAAACGGGAATTCTCATCTACTAGGATCACTGCTTGAGGGACACCTTTTCATCTATGCCAGCAAAGGTAAAAATACGCCATAGAGTGACCACCTGAGGTGTCGGCAAAGAGTTTCACAGTTTGCTGATGGTGCATCAGAAATCTGTGGTGTCACTTCACATTATTGCAGCAACAACGAAAGGTACAATCTAGGACATTTCCAGGAATCGCACGAATCAGTAAACATTGGTCCTTGTGTTGGAACACTGAATTCGACAGTAACTTTGGAGAGATGTTGTATAGACTCAATTTATATATAAAAAAGAAGCATGTACCAACCCTGTAAAATTCTTGCATTCCAAACAGCCTCATCAGTCAAAGTTACACTACTGATAAAGTAATAATTAAGATCTCTGTTAAGACCACACATGCTTGATTTCCATTGAGCCAAATTTGGGGATTATATGTGGGCTGCTGCGCTTTGCATTTCCGCAGACACAAAGCTATGGCGCAAACAACAGAAAAATGCATCTTCGTGAACAATTGAATCCTACTATTGTACATTCAATGGATTCTGTTGCAAGTACGTACCAAAGAGAACACGAACAGAGCAGGAGATGACCTACTCAACAGTTACTTGTTGTACCATCCCAAAGATGTCAATTATTTAGGAGGAAGGACCAGGCTATAGTTATGAGCTATAAGTTATGGATGGCATCAGATCAGGGACTCCTCTTTCTAGACCATCACTAATAAGACATTGAATGCATACCAGTTCTAGCTTTGGAACACCAACATTATCAATGCCAATCTTAATCTTTGATGTTGCAGTTAGTTAGTTAGTTGTGAGAGGAAATTAATGTTGCAATTAGCTAGTATTCCCTTACAAATCTTGATGTTCGTTTATAGATTGTGTCAATGATGTGTTTAGATGTAGATACCAAACTTTATTCAAATACAGCTAACAAGGCCAGCCGATTTGAATCAAAAGTAACCTAAAATGAATTTAGTAATAATCAGGATTAGCAGCACAAGCGCTAGAAAGCAGTAATATATCAAGTTCACTTTTCATCTTTTTGTCCATATAGTTCCACTTGCTAAATTAATGCTGCTTGGAGCTAGTACCGCTATCAGAAAGACAAATTATGCCCTCTTTTCTTGGTATCATTTGTGATTATTGCAGTTACCTCTGGTCTCTTGGCCTGACAGATGCTCCTCATTGCCTCCAGGTGCTGACTACTCCCTCTTGGATCGCGTCCTAATTTAATTGAGATGATTATGCACCAAACAAGAAAGGCAAACCCATCTTCCTCGTTTGTAATCAGGACGCAAATACTAGATGATTATGCAGCTTACGCACGGTTCTTGCCGTTGCCGCCGCTGCCGACCCTGATGACGTCGAGCAGGACCACCGTGTCGCAGGGACGGACGGCGTGCGACAGCGCCCACTGCAGCGCCGTCCGGGCCTCCTCGCTGCCGCCGTCCGCCGCCACCATCACCTTCCTCCCCACGACGACGGCCTCCGCGCCAGCCTTCTTATTAGCCTCCTCGTCTTCCTGCTTGTCATCCTTCGGCGACTTGCTCTCAATGCCGTCGTCGAAGGAGGTCTCCTTGTTGGCGCATATCGACGGCGGTGCGGCAGTGGACGCAGTAACGCCGGACCTGATCCGGTGGAGGCAGAAGGAAGAGAGCGGCCTGGCCATGGCGTCGGGTGTTCGCGTTTGCCGGGGTTTATTTCTTGGAGCTGGAGGGTGGTTTAGCTGCAGCCTGCAGGGCGAGCGAGGCTACTCAGAGTTCAGAGCTCAGAGGAGTGAACTGAAGGGAGGGGGCAGAGTGGTATGGTTGAGAACTTGAGATCAATTAGTACCGGCTGGCATGTGGGTCCCACCCGGAAGTGTAGTCGTGCTTGTCCCATGCACGTACGGATGGTTTTGGTTTTGTAGGTCGGCTGGCGGCCACCTACACGTGCCTTTTTCTTTTCTTCTATGTAGCTATATATATCCTTATGTATTTTACCTTTCTGATGAACTTCTAATTTTAAAATTGAACTGCTATAGTTTTAGCAGGGGACTAATCGCAAAAAAAAAAAAAAACAGAGGATTAATAAACACCTTCCTTACAACTTACTCCAATTTGATTAGTGTTTCTATGAATGTCAAACCTTGCGTACTCTCTCCGTTCCAATTAAATCAACTTTTAAAGCAATTGTAAGTTAAACCATTTTAATCTTGACCAAATTTATGAAATGAACACCAATATTTATGACATTAAATTAGTATCACTAGATATATTATAAAATATATTTTCAAAATGTATGTATTTAGTTTCGAAGATATGTTACTTTTTCCTATAAAGTTGGCTAAACTTAAGATAATTTGAGTTAGGGTGATTCTAGGCATTAATTTATTTTAGCACGGGGGAGTATAAGTGGAGACCGTGTATTGGTTATGGATGTGCTATGGGAAAGGGGCATGATGAATAAATTTGCAACATCATATCTAACTTTTGTTTTTAGGTTCTAGTTCTCGAACTTAATTTGTTCCATCTGGAATTTCTTCTTTATCTTAATATAAGCTGTACTCCTGCTTGGTTTCTGCTTGAATCGTTTTTTTTAAAAAAAACTCCTAAACATAAATATCTGCTTTTTAATTCCCTTTATAATAAACTGAGCAGTCTCTCCGAAGTTCACACAGCGCCAGCTGCAGTTAACTTGATCTCTATTTTATTACATATAATTAACAGGTCTACCATCATACACATTATTTAAATTTGAAATTCCAAACATGTGCTGCCAATGGTTCTTTGGTAATCCCTAGATCAAACAAATCATTGCACTTGATTAAGAATAGTGTGATCCAATGCAAGGAAAGAGGAACAAAGAAAGGGCATTATTAATTTAGGACATTCTGTCAATCAATCATCATGGCATGAAGGCTGACATTGTAGCATGATTTGGTGACCAAAATGCAGGCATGTTTTGACAAATGTGTGTCCTTACCTGTTGGCTCATGGCCATCTACATCAATATATATGTACACATATTCCGTTTGTTTGTGTTACATCACCGACAAGGCCAGCACAGCTCTGGGTTTGTTGCTATGTGCACTCACGTACGGATCGTGAACTGGTGATTTTCTTTGTGATAGTGTGGTTTTCTTTTACACGTTTGTGTGTAGTAGGATGGGAACAGATAATTTGAAGAAAAGTTGCCTTGAGTTTCTTGAGGTAGCTGCATCATGATGGCACTTTTCATATAAGAGTTGGATGTGGCACTAGAAGCTGGACATTTGAATTCCGAGAGTATGGCAGCTTTAGCATAAATAAAATAGGAAGGCCAGGTCATCATCATATATAGCCCCAGGGTTCCACTTACATGGGTATAATGATGTACAAGTCTTTCTAAAAGCTTAATTATTCATCAACGCACGTTTCCTACTTTCCTTGTTTTTTTTGTTCAAAATACCTTCGTTCCTTCGTAATAGAAAAACGACTTCTATACATGTCCGAAAAAAACACTTCTATATAGTTTTTCTATTTTATTGAACAATGGTTGTAGCCAACTCT